TAAACGTGTCACACACTAGATTCAGAATCTGTTGTGCATCCATCTTCAATGTCTCTTATACTATGGGCAAAGGCAAAGACACTTGATCATGTTATGTCTTCAGCGCCTAGTTTATGAAAAGGATATAAATATGGCTGAAGATTCAAGTTTGAATCTTAACAAGGATTCTTTAGATGAAGGAGTAGCAAGATCAAGCATTTATCAACTCCATTGTAATATGCAGATTTTCTATTATAGTTTGTAATTGTAAAAACCTTAAGATTACTTACCATTGAATATCTTAGAAATCTTAAAAGCTTTAGGTCTTTGTTATGGTGATTTCCCGTACCTCTGATACTTGTATCATGTATACCTTGTTCTCTATTCTACTGAGCCTTCATTAGTTTAGATCAAAGTCTTTTGCTATTTGTTTGAGCAGGAGTCTTGTCTCATTGGGATTCAAACAATAAGTCTTGAGCCAAGATGCTTAAGCCACATAAGTCTCATTGCTTAAGTGCTTGAACCATGAAAGTCTTATTCAACTAGTCTGGTTGAGCAAGGGAAAGTCTCCGTTTGAGAGGCTTGAACAAGAAGTCTCAAGTGCATCTTTAGCAAGGAAGTCCACTCTAGATGGCCAGAAGAGTAGGTAGCTCGGTTAGAGGATGTGAGCAAGAAGTCTTAGACATTTGCTCTAAGCAAAGGTAAGTCTCAACCAGAGGACCTTTGGAGCAGGTGGCTCAGCCAGAAGGTGTGAGCAAGGGAAGTCTTAGACATGTGCTATAAGCAAGAAAGTCTCAGACATTTGGTCTGAGCAAGTGTAAAAGACTTATGCAGAAGCATAAGCGATTGTAATCATGAAGTGATTATAATGAAAGTCTTTTGTGAGACAAGGGGACTGGATTACTCTTAGTTAAGGGAGGAACCAGGATAAATCTTTTGTGTCTTCTTCTGTTATTTGTTTACTTCTGTTATATCGGTTGCCAATAAATTAAAACAGAATCTGAACACCAATTTTGATTCTGAAACACTGATCATAAGTTAAATTAAAAAAATGCGAAACACAATTCAACCTCTCATTCTTGTGTACTTTTCACACCTCCAGACTCATTCTTAACAATACTAGTCTAGTTTGTCACTCTATATGCCGCTCTGTCTACATTAATGTCGTCCATGTCGTGTATTTCACTGTAAAAAATGGAAAAAGTAAAAAAGATTAATACGATATGAAGGGTGGGGGTTCCAGGTTCAAGGGGGGGGGGGGTGACAAGTTAGATTCTCTTACTCTTTCCATCCTTAGGGGCACCTCCCACCCTAGTAAAAAAGTTATAACTACCTCTAATTTTTTGAGATGCATCTCCGAACGCACTTTATTTTACACATTTCTCAGTGTAAATTGACGAGACACCATATTTTGTATATTCGGTTAATACGTATATGCATCTCCGTATCAATCTTTAATATTCCAGAGACACATCTCTGAAATATGCTCTGTTAGTTCAAACCAAAAATAATGGCAGAATAGTGGAAAAAACATAAATTACCATTAAAATAAACATTACATAAGTTTAACATTACATTTAATTATAAACAAGTGGTTCAGGACATTGCAACATCCTTAGAATATCTTTGGCCGATCTTACAATCATTACATTCACTTCAATCAAAACCTTTGTTGAGTAACAATAAAATATACTCCACAACACTTTTAAATCATCACCCGTCTTCAATTCAAGCTTGGTGAATTGTATCTTCCCTTTGTCGTCAATCTAAGGTGAACGACTCTCGAGCTTGACAACTCTCCAATTTTATGTATATCACACGAGAGTATTTAGTTTGATTTTCAGATCGACGAGAAGTATGTCCGTGGAGATGATAAATTCAAGTGGAGGATTTGTTCCATTGAAATACACAAATGCAAGATGTGAATATGTATTCATTTAGGTTTTTATAAATAAAATGGATTGAGAGACTCCTATTTAGATTAGTTGGAGATCAATTTGGACCTTAGAAATCATATCCTTTCATCAGGACATAGTTCAGATATGCATATCCAGACACGTCATATATCTTTTTTAACAAAGAAAGGTGTCCCGGGATGTATATCTGGACACGTCCACGATTGTTATTTTTTAAAATTAAACTTGGATGTGTCCGAATATACATATCCGAACCCACCTATTAGAGAACCAGTTTTGACACAGAACCAGTAAACACATAGAAACATAAACATAAGACATTGTCCAAAACATACTCCAAAATTCTATAACATTAAAGTAGAATAGAAATAACATATGTCACAAATTGTATCGAGATTGCATCATTGATAGCATTACATACAAAAAAGAGTTACATTATTAGATTAAAACTAAAATGTATCAAAACACATGTCACTACCTAAATCTATTGGTGGTTCCTTCTTTGACATTTCCTTATTTGCTTCTCTTTCAACGTCTCTCAACTTGATGAACTCTTTCATCCTTTCTAAAAAGTGATCAAACCAAGTTTTAGCAGCTTGGGTGAAATGTGTAGTCCACTCCGGTGACGTCTTTAGTATATGACATTCTGGTTTCAAATAAACCTAAACAAAATGTTACGTTTTTGAAAGCCACCAAATACACATAACGCGTCTGGATGGATTTTCAGGCGATCTACTCCAAAGTGGAAAAATGTTTTTGAGAAACCATATCGTGTTAAATCAATACACACCATATTATAAGCACTTACTATAAAATGTTCCATTTTTGGAAAGCATAACCATTTACCAAACGGTGTCGAACCACTAACACAAGAAACAAGAGCATTGAGAATTACATCGTAATTTTCTTTTGTCTAGTATAACTTTGCGTATGATTTCCAATGAGTCATAATCTCTTGTATAAGCTGAAGGCAGACAAGTTGGTGGTCCTCCTCTCCTTTATCGAGCAAACCTATAACAACTCAAAAATCACAATTGTCGTCACCTTCAACATCTACAATTCACTCAATGTATTTGTGCATAAAAAGCAACATCTTGAACTCTTTTCCTTTTGACGATCCTTAACTCATGTGCCTCTAACAAACCAACCAAATCTTTCAATTTCAAGGTTTCAAGATTGTTGGATTCTTGACTGGCTACGATAATGTGATCAATGTGAGATATTAATGTACACATTATATTCTCAACTATCATCTTATCAGTTAGGACTTCACCACAACATTTCATGAGATGAACAAGATTCTGCACATTCAAGACATAACCTACAATCTTTTCATCTTCTCCCATCTGCAGTAGCTCATACTGCCTTCGCAGTGTCTGCAATTTGATAACTTTAACCTTCTCACCACCTTTATAATACTTGACAAGAATATCCCATGCCTCCATCGCCGATTTAGCATGAGAAATCCGACCAAAATTCATTGTATCTACTGCAGATTGAATGCAAAACACAACCTTGCAATCTTGCTTCTTTGCATCATTGTGACTGATTCTCTGAACATCGTTTGCGTTGTTAGCAAGCTCATGAACGCCATTAATTACCACTTCTAGGGTTTCATATAAACCAAACAATGATTGCATCTATTTTCTCCATCAGATCCAACTTTTACCATCAAGAATTGGAAGAGAATTAGGAATACCATTGCTACCATTCATCTTCGTAGCAAATACGATTCACGATCCCTGAAAACATGACCTCCGACGTGCATTTCTTGAATTCACGATTAAGAAAAACGAACAAAAAACTCTAAATACCAATTTGATAGTACTGATGCATTTGGACGAGGAAGAAATGAAAGAGAATGAAAAGTGATTATATTGGATTATTATATTGAGAGTTATCTACTCATGTATTTATATACAATAGATTATTTGTAACTCAAGTAGTTAACATAACAAACTAATTAACTTGCTAACCAAATAACTAACTATATTACTCTCTCACAGTTCCTTTTTAAGTGTCACTTTTTAATTTTTTATCTATACCAAGAAAACTAATCAATATTGTTACTTTTCATACAATAATTATTTTTTACCTATAATATCCCTAATTATTTATTACATTCATTCTACTTTTTCTGTCTTTCAATTTTGACAAAAATATATTTAATACTACCTTAAACAAATACAATTAAAAATAATAATAAAAAATCATCCAAAAAAATAACAATTAAAAAAGAAATGGAGGGAGTATATTATAAGAGAACACTTACCCCAAACTCTGAGTAGTTCCATCTTACAAGTCTTGTCATTGATTCTTTAAAGAACTTGATAAGTGTCACTTTCTGAGAAGAAAATATTGCATTTCTCATGTGAATCCAAATCGAAACACCAAATTCAAATCCCATTTTCTCCTCCCTTTCTGAAAATCAACTTGAGTCTTCATATAGAATTATTTTAGTTTTGAGGTAGAAGAAAAAGAGGTCATTGATTTTGGTGATGATGATTTATTTTTTCCGACATAATTTGCAATAATATTTAAACAATTTTTTGTTTTCTTATTGGATCTGAATAACATTATTTTCTTTAATTTTTCTTTTTTTTTTTGTATAATTTTGTTTGCATAAATATCACCATAATTTATTCAAAAATAAATTCAAAAATTTTCAAAAGTAAAATAAAAATTAATCCAAACAAATTTAAAAATAACATATAATAAATTAATCATGTAACTAATTTCACATGAGTTTTATCCCTCAAAAAAAAGTTAAGAAATGTAGTAGATTCTGTGTTAATATGAGAAACAAAATGGATGGTGCTTATAAACTGCGCCAATTCAGGTTTTGCGCACATTCCGTTTGTCTCTTTATATCCACAAACCACCAAAATGAGATCTTCCCATGGTGCAACTCTTTCACCTATCTTCCAACGCCAACCTTTTCTCTTCTCTTGTTCATGTAAATCTCATCACATCTCTCAACTTTTATTGAATTCTTTCACTTTGCATGTTTATTTCAAAACTATTGAACTTCATTTCATTCATGCATATATAGTTAGTTCATCTCAGTTTGGATTTGAAGAGATTGGCATGCAGAAGTAAGGTGACATGAAGAAGGCATTTAGATCGCAAAAAGTCCATGGCGATTATAAGGTACCTGATTGATTAAACCAGAAGAATGAAATCTTAATATGTTACTTTATTGATTTAATGATTATTAGCAGAGCTTGGATGTTGCAATTGTTAAGGCAACACACGCTGACAATTCATTGCCAAAGGAAAAACACATTCGATGTACGTCGTAATCATCATCATATCCTTGATAAATAATTTACTGCAGTTGAATATTATCATGTGTCTGTTTTTGTTGTGGCGCGTGATGCAGATATTTTCCAGTCACTTTCTCCGTCGAAGCCTCGCAGCGAGGTTGTTTATTGTATACATACTCTCGCGAGGCGACTTAACCAGACGAACAATTGGTCTATTGTTTTGAAAACGCTTATTATCATTCATCGCGCGATGAGGGAGCTTGATAATACAGTTTGGGAAGAGCTTGTTAACTATAGTACCGGACAAGGCCATTTGATTGATTTATCACGCTTTCATGATACCTCAATGCCAAATGCCTTGGATTATTCGGCTTGGATACGGAATTATAGTCTTTACCTCGGAGAGCGGCTGCAATGTTTTCTTATTCTCAACCATGATGTCGCGACGTATAGCTCAGTAAGTTTATATTCTTTCTATTCATTGCTTTTTAACTGAATTGCCGTTTTCATCTTCAACTTTTGTTTCTATATGTACAGAAATCTTCGGGGAAACTTGACACGAAGGAATTGATGGAGCAATTGCCAGCCTTACAAAGTCTTCTCTTTCGGTTACTTGATTCCAAGGTTACATTCATGATCAATGACTTGTTATTTTTGTGAGTTTCTGTTACTCATTCACTTGGTTGTTTTTTTTTCCAGCCAGCTGGTGCATCTGCTTTTAATCGCTTGATTCAGTATGCTCTTTCGATGGTAAGAAATTAACATTGAAAATTTGGATATGTAGTTTTCTTTTCTTCTGTTTAGACTCTTTCATTTGTGGTGTTCAGGTTGCTGGTGAAAGCGTTAAAATATATGTTGCAATAACTGTTAGAGTGGTGGAATTACTTGACAAGGTGAACAATGTATAGCATGTATTCATTCATATTGACAGTTATGATTAATGTAAGGTAACAACATTGACTGGCTTGTACTATTTGTTTCGCGCGCAGTTTTTTGAGATGAACCGCGATGATGCGGTTAGTGCACTGAAGATTTATAGAAAATCAGGAAGTCAGGTGATACATGTTGAGTGAACCTTTTTTGGCTTTTTGAGACTGCGCGTGTATTGAAATCCAATTGAAGTTTGTTTGTTGCTGTAGGCAGAGAGGTTATCTGAGTTCTTTGTGACCTGCAGGGGCCTAGATTTTGGAAGAGGACAGAAATTCGTTAATATTAAACAGGTATATTATTGCTGTTTATCGAGCAATATTAAACATGTGTGTGATTTCATCCTAAGTATATGTATATATTTTGCAGCCTCCTGCATCATTTGTAGCTACGATGGAAGAATACATCAAAGAGGCTCCGAATACCTTGATGCTCGAGTACGATGTGGTATGATGCTAACTACTCTCTGAACTAGGATACATTAATAACTAGTTAAAAACCCGTGCGTTTACTTTATGTTCCAATTAATTTGGTTATTATCAGAATGGCAAAGAGGAAGAGGAAGGAGGTACAGGTAATAATGTAGGCAATTTGATGAGTCTAGACGAGTCAGATCCGTCTCCGGAAGGGAATGAGGCTGCTGCACCAACACCAGCAGCTGATCTTATGGTAAGTATAACAAACTAGTACTGTTTTTTTTCCTTCTTTTTCAGTCATTCATTCACATTCTTTCTTCTCATATATATGATTTTCTCTGTTATGTTAGGGTTTGTATGACTTACTAACAGGTGCATCTGAATATGACGAAAATCCCCTCGCATTGGCGATTGTTCCAACTGGTACGGTACAACAATTATATACATTTCAAGAAATTCTAAGCTGGATGGTGCTCAAACATTTGAAAATTCACCTAACTAGTTTCTTTTATGCATGTACAAATTACACAGAAAATTCTATAAGTTCCAGCAATGACGAGTGCGAAGCCAGTCCTGTAACGGGTTGGGAGGTTGCACTCTTTTCGGAGCAAGAAGAAAGCTGTGACCAAAATATAGTTGCAGAGAATATAGAGGTAGGTCTTTTATTTTTGTTTCTTGTAAGTTGCAGACGAGACGAGAGTGTAATTGTTGCTTACAATATTTAAAAAGCAGGGTGAAGAACCGGGTGTGTTAAAGCTCGATGGTTTATATGATGAACCTGTTGCTGCGGCGCAACATGATGGAGTTTACGAGATAGGCCAAGTGAGTTCGAACCCTTTTGATTTTCAGGCTATTCATGATCCTGCCCAATACAACATGGCGTTGGAACCTCCAAATGGTTTCTATGTTGATCACAACATTCCAGGCCAATTTGTAAGCATGCAACCCTACCAAGTTTCTTATAATACACCTCAACAGCAGCAACAGGAGGGGGAACCATACCAAATGATTAAAAAATCTACAAATCCGTTCGATGAACCTAATTTTTTGCCACCACCTTCTACCTCGAGCGTGCATCAACATCCAACCGAGACTACTTAATCCGATTATTTCAAACAATGAAATACAAGCAAGCAACACAACGCCTAAGTTTGGTGACACTTCACAATGGGCATTGTGGCTGCCTCCATAGGCAAATCCACTGTGAATTTTAGGAAGTAAGAAATTGTAGAGATGAATGAAGGTGATAACAAACACACACTAGGATATGTTTGGAAGCTAGAAATTATATTAATGCAGTTTTAACAAAGCTACAAATTGTAGCTTTGGGAAGACAAACATGCTATAACTGTGTGGGTGTGCCACAATCTGTATTAGTACAAATCAAACTAAACTAATTTTGAATTGTAAGTATTTCATTTAAATGTTAAAAGGTGAAGTTTAATCTTTAGTAAAAAAATTAAGTTAACTTTAGTCTTAATGTTCAGTTCAAAAATATAAAATGGAACTGTTAGATAAATTCATTACAGAAGTATTATCATTGTGGACAGAAATGTTACTCTTGAATATTTGGTCAGCTTCTTCTACTGGATCGAATAACCTAAAAATGTTACAACCTCCGTCTTGGAGCAGGTAAGAAACGGTTCATTCAACATTGAAAACAAACTTAATGTTCTGTTATGAGAAAAGGTTTATCTTCATTGATTACGAATGAAGGGTTACAAAAAATTTATAGTAAGGTACAAGATGCATCAAAGTTATGGTGGAGCATCTCTATGCTATCATACCTTCTAACAATCTCTAATAACTATAACCAACTAGATTTAGGCACCTTATTAACTCTAACTAATTTTGGTAGCTTGTTACACAAGTTAGTTATTCATTTAACATGATATGAGTTAAGTGTGGTGTAATATACCTACACAAGTTGGAGGATATATATTAATCATCCTCAACTTAGGTAGTTTAAGAACATTTGCTTGCACCTTTTCACAACTATGTAGCAATTTGTTTCTCGATGCTTGATACGTTCTTGTAATAAAAGATTGGATGTGATGTGTAATGCACTCAAGTTGTCATAATATAACAGGAGGTTTGTTGCATTGACTTTGGAGATTATGTAGAAGATAGACTAATAAATTGTCATAATATAGAATAGGAGGTTTGTTGCATTGAATTTGGAGACCATGTAGAAGATAGACCAACAATTGTAGTTCACATGTGACTGGTGCAATGATGAAGGTAAGAAAGTCAATTGCTTCTTGGTGCACCAGAATATGAGAGACTTACCAATGATTAAGCATTATATTGAGATGGATCTTCGTGTGTCTGCACACCCGACCTAATCAACATCCGAAAAACCTATGAGTTGAGGATGTGAGTCCTCTTGAGAAGAATATTTCACGAGCAAGACAACCCTTTAGCTATCTCAGATTTCTAATGGCTGCTTTGTAGTCATTGGTGGTGGGATTGGTAAGGAATTAGCGCAATTGTTATGTGATAAAAGTAATGTCAGATCTAGTGGCTGTGAGGTAAAAGAGTATTCCAACAAGTCGTATATAGGGATATCTGTATAGGCTGGGTTGGTATCATTCATGAGTTTATTGGTAGGGTCTACAAGTGTGGTGACAATTATAGAGCCAAGTAATCATGCATCATAAACTAGATCTAGGAAACATTTTCTTTGTCACTTTGTGATTCCTTGTTTGGAGGGAGATACTTAAAGACCAAGAAAATACTTGAGTTTACAAAGATTCTTAATTTAGAAGATATGATGTAGGGCCTGTTTGATGCGATTAAATTCCCCAAATGAGTTTTCTGCAATGATGATGTTATTTACATAATGTTACACTTGGATTTTCAACTATTAGAAAGTCAACAAAGTGAAAAGTATCTTAAAAGATATGAGAATATTAATGAAGTGTATTTAAAGAAACATTAATGGCAGGTGGTTGACAGACCAACTACAAACGGTCGACCAAGCCGTTGATACAACTTGACATAGTTTGGAGGACTCTCAGGAAAAAATCCCTAAGACCCGTATTATAGAGAAATATGTCCAAAATCTCAAAAAGACAGTTGACAAATACATATTCAGAATCTCAAGAAGGGCGGTCGATGGAAGCCCTCATTCCATTCAAAAGAACTTGTCGACGACACAACGTGGTATAAAAACTTAGTGATTCTTACAAATCTTGGGTTTTTTGAGAGAGATTGTCGACGACACTTTGGAGCACTTATCATCGAGAGATCGTGAAAAAGTGGAAGAAATGAAAAAACGGTTACCACTCAACGTGGGTTACTAGCAAATAGCATCAAAGGAAAAACACGTAAACGTACTAGTGGAAACCTGAAGGATCGAACGTGGAGCAAATACGACTATCCTTTAGTGCCATAATCGTCGTCGACGATTATATTGTAAATAGAATAAATAGAAAACTCATACATGAGAATAAAGGTCACAAAATTTCACATATCAAAACATTGTACTTGTTCTTTTACTTTGTTTAATGTTATTTACTGCATTTTAACTTATCATTTATCAAAACATTGACTTTATTTAAAGTCTTTTGTTACGATACATTCAATTCACACGCACGTGTGTTGACACAAAGTATTTGCACAAATTGCTTTGGAGATTTTTCGAGTTATTCTCATAGACTTTCAAACTCAGAATTGTTTAACAAAAACACATGTAAACAAATTTGCACACCTACTGGTACCTTTTTGTGCGGATATTTTTTTGCTTAAAAGTAGTGTCCTATGTTTAGTTTGTAATATCGTCTGTTTCAATGTCTTTTATGATGTATGCACTTGAGGAGTGGTAAGCGTCTTTCCAGTATGTCTAGAAAAAACCAAACCCCTTTCCAAAGTAATACTCCAAGCTCAGGAGGACAACCAACGATTACTAGTATCACCAGTTCTATGGCTCTGACCTCAGCCGAGGATATTCCTACTGTCATCATCCAAGAAGTGGCGTATTTTATCTGAGGGCAATGTGTCTCATCCTTATTTTAATGATGTCAAAACGTGTCTAGTTAGTACTTTGTTTTTTGGACGGTATCATCGAGTCTCATTTGCATTCATAGTTCTCTAGAGCGCGAAAATATTTCAAAAACATGAGTATATTCATATAGAATAACATCATATGTGTTTTGTGTGTATTTGATCCTTTTGAGAAACTTAAGTGTGCATAAGTATTGTTCAGGTAGACCAAAACATGCTCAAAAAGTCATTTTTGGAAGTTTCGAATGCTTGAGTCGACTCAAAGTCCTGCTTAGATCGACTCATGTAATGTGGATTTTGAGCTTTTTCTCTCAGGTGTGCTCACGTCGATCCTCTGGTCGTCTCGTACTGTTAGCATTTGAATTTTTCAGTTTTGAGAAAGTTTGCGTCGACGCATGGACCTGTTCTGGTCGATGCACAGAGTCAATTTTTGCACATTCTGAAATCAGGTGTTCTCAGGTCGACCCCCTTTTTTCTTAGGTCGACCGTTCGCTCGAATTACTCTATTTTTCTGATCTGTTTGATTTTCAAATTGCTGTTATGGTTGTTATTTGGTCTTAACTTCATATATATTCTTATTGGCTCATCTTTAGGTAACAACAAGGAAAGTGAAATATTGACACTGATTTTCTCTCATCATTTTCATCCTTTTTCTTGCATTTTCTCAACAACTACACATAACAATTTTTGTTGATCATTCTGCAACATTGAGGTGATAACGTCCAAACATAAGATATTGTATCGGGTTTAGGTTGAGATATCGATGAATTTTTCTTGAATAAAACCATTAGGGTTTTGTCCTCCAAGAATCTTGAGGTTTTATGGGGGTTTTTGCACAAATCATTTTTTCACAGATTCAGTTGAGCGAAGATGATTGAAAAACGGGTGGTTCGTTCAATCTAGTAGCAGTAACCGAAGGATTGTGGAAGAAAGATTTGAGTTTGAATTGTGTGTGATTGAAATCAGCCGGACTAAATATTTGAAGACCGTTGGGTTATTCAGATGAGTAGCTAGAATCGGAGGACTATTCAACACATTCGAGGCACTTGATTCGACTTGAATCAAGAGGAGAGAAGGCATAGTATCAGCATCAACAACTATGCTTGAGTGTGTGGTTACTATTGCTTCTCTTGTAAAAACTTTTGCAACAAGTTAATATAGATCTCAATTCTATTTCTAGAATTGAGGACAGACGTACCCCAAGCGAGGACAAAGGGGGAATTGCCTCAACAAATTTGGTGTTGTTTTCTCTTTTGCTATTTTTCTATTTCTGAATTGTTAACATTTGTGCACAATCAATTGTTCGATAAAAATTATGGTATAGTGTAGTGCTGAAAAGTATTTTAAACTCATTACAATCATTTTGATTGTAATTGGAAAAATTTTGCACTACTATTACTTAGAGAATTTCACTTGGAGTGTTTTGTATATCAAGTGTTCAATAAATTGATCGCACACAAACTAGTTATGCTTTTGTCAATTTGAGTTTAATTTTTACAAGCCATTGGAAATTGCACAACCTTAAGTGATTCTAATTATATTGATTGACGTTCAAAATATTGATTCGTTTTCTCATTGGATCCGATATTCCATCTTGGCTTATCGCATATCCGATCTTTTCAGTAACGGTTCGTTTAAACGACATAGTTCCTCGGCCGCTTCCGCATAAATTTTAAAAACCAAATTTCTTTTAAGCGCCTACTCTGTTTAGGAATTAGTGATATATTCAACCCCCCTTCTAGATCATTGTCATTGTCTAACAAGTGGTATCAAGAGCACCAGTTCATTCCGTGCTTCGCATATAACTTTTTAGAATATGGCAAACGAACCAAAAGGGGCTTATAATATATCACTAATTTTTAACGGTAAGAACTATAGTTATTGAAAAGATTGTATGTGCGTGCATATCAATTCCATTGATAGAAAGGTATAGAACGTTATACAAAATGGTCTCGTGGAAATTACCATGACCAATGCGAATAACGTTGTTGTGCCTAAGCCTGAAGCACAATGGAATGTAGAAGATGAGAAAAAGTATAACTACAATTGAAAAGTTAGAAATATTCTGATCTCCTCTTTGGGAGTTGATGACTATT